CAGCAGGGATGGGCAGTGACCCTGCAAAGGCAGCGGAAGGAAAGGGGACACCCAAAGGTGTCATGTCCCAGCCGCTGGAGCTGGAGTGTGCCACAGCAGACAGCAAGAGGAGAGCTCAGATGGAATTAAGGCTGCTCAGCAGTCCTTAAAATAGGGCGATTATGCGGCTCATCCCCCCGGGACGTGGTCACTGTGTGGACTGGAGGGTAGGTCGGAGGCTGTGTGGCAGGCACCAGGCTGCCCTGAGGTCAGCATAGCAGAAAGCCTTTCCAAGTCACAAGCGGAGCCCATCAAGGACAACACTGTTTAGCTGGGCTCACTTGCTAATCCCAGCGCTCTACGAGACGGAGACAGGAGGATCCCCAGGTTAGAAAGAGCCTGTCTCAGAAGAAAAAGCAATAAAAGGTTGGGTAGTAGCTCAGTGTGAAGGCCCTGGGTTCAATCTCCAATCACAAACAAAGAGATATACAAAATAGCGGCCCTGTTTCTGTGTACTGAGAGTGCCAGGCCAGCGGGCAGGGGCAGCAAACCAGATGGGGCCCTCACCCTATCCCGTGCAGGCTCTCCTGGGCCTAGGGCAGGAGAAGGGGAGCGCTTAGTGCAGGCCGCCATGCAGCCCTGGAGGCCAAGACAAAAACCCTGTCCTGTCCAGAGACATCTTTGTCTGAGAAAGAGGGAGAGAGACAGTAGGTGACAGAACCAGGTAGAGGTAGGTGATAAATGAGCCAGATAGGGAGGTGATAGACGGATGGACAGACAGATGATAGATGGATAGATGACAGACAGACATGACAAGTGGCACTGGCAGAGATGACAGACACAGCAGAAGTGCCATTCCCTGAGGCAGCCCATGTCGGGGTCCTGTGATGACGAAAGTGTGTCTTGAGGGCCCTGGCTAGACACAGTCAGTGCCACTTTGGCAGGGACAGCCGCCGATGGCAGAGAGCTGTGTTCGGTGTCCTTGTCTGATCTCCATTTTCTGTTCCCACAAGGTGGCTCCTAAGGGATTTCCATTTTTCCAAAACCCTCTAAGGGAGGGGTC